TCCCCAAATTAAATACTACTCAATTTGCCCTGAGCACCTGGTAATCAACACCCCTGAACAACAGTCCCCAACAGTTCCGTAAGTTCTTCAAAGAGCAGCATCGCTTGCTGCCATGTGCTCTTTAATGCTACACATGACCGAACATGGGACCAAATCTTTGAAAGCTGCCCGCACGTGGTGCGCAACTAATTTTGGAGAGCATTTTCCAACACTCGGGTTCCTTACTTTCTCCTTACATAGTACCTAGAAATCCTAGTTATCCATAATAATGGGCTACCTTGGCCCAAAGTAGTAGGAAATGAGTGGAAAGTTGCTTATAATCATGGCTAACTGGCTTTCTAAGTATACTCCCTGTATAAGGGCCCTCTAAACCCTAAACCTTAAACCTCCTATTTCGGGGCACTTCGGCCTCAGAATGGACTCGTCGTTCAAAGGCTTCGGCGCTGCCAAACCACTTGCCAATGCACCGTTGCACAACTTCCCTGTCGCAGATCCTTGCTGTGTTGAGGACTTTAGGCACGGTAGGTTGCAGGGTTTAGGGTTTAGGGCTAAGGCTGTGACGACAGCATAGTCCTGCACTTGATTCACCACATCAAATCATGCTGTATCCTTGCGGCTCGAATTTACCCTTCAATCTTGAGGCCCCGTATAGTAACTGCATGATATTCCTGGGCAGTATATGAGCCATAGTCCAAACTCCTAGCTTCCCCCTTAGTAACCCCTATAATACTCCCCTATATAATCCCTTATAGAACCCCCCTTTAAGGAGTTTAGACTGTAGCTCATATGGCCCCGCAGCCCCTTCACGAACATTTCGTCCCAATGGATGGTGGTGCCCGAGCATCATGGACTCCTGGCTGCCAGCAATCCTGTGCTCAGAAGCACAGCAGTAGCTCTTCGCAGCTGCCACTCGGAAATTGGCGACCTGGTGGCACATGGTCGTCACGTCCCGACAGTACTTTCGGCAAAGATGTGCAATCGCGAAGAAAATCAAGCCAGAAAGGCTCAATCCCACCAGATTTACAACCACAAGGTCGTAGCCAGATACCTGGGTTGCTGTTAAGGAACTTAAATTAAGTTACCATATTGGGTATATATATAGCAAATAATAGGGTTTCCCCAATGTAGTAACTTAATTTAAGTTCCTTAACAGCAACCCAGATACTTGGGCAAGGCTGTAGCTCCAACCCGACAGGCAAAGCGCAAACCAGCCGCTGCACCTGTCCAGACTTACGGGATAGTCATAGCTTAGGAGGACCCCCCACCCTGTAATAGTGGTACAATAGGAATATAAGTGGATCCTAAAATAACCCCGATTATCCCCTATAGTCACTATTACTGGGTGGGGGGTCCACCTAAGTCATAGCAATAGTAGTCAGAGTAATAGAATAACAATGCGAATGATAGCAATACTAGTAGAAAGAGTCGCAACAATACTCAACTAGTGGGGTGGATCAGCACTAATTGCAGTATCTTGTCTGGAGTCCTAACAGATCTTGGGGTGCGTGCCGCACGAAGACTTTCAACCCATAGCCACCTCAAACTCCTACTATCACCCATCAAGGCTTCTATCAAGGTTATTTAGGGTTTAGGGTTTAGGGTTGCAACATCCAAATTCTACCCCAAGCTCTAGGCTCTAGGCCGTGTTCGTGACCTGCGTTGCAGCATCACACGAAAGCAGGTCAGCCCTAAACCCCTCAACCCTAATGAAGACCCGTGATTAACAAAACCCTCCTTCTAAGCGCCTTAATATTAACCCTATTATGATCCCTATAAGGGGAAGGGGTTTATTAGTCAGAGGTCCGGGTTAAACCCAGAACCCCAGGCACAGGGTCAACCCGAGCACTGTCGGCCGAATAATAACGGGTGGCTCTTCATGTGCCTAGGTTTCCCAGTAACCCCATAACAATAAGGGTGCCCTTTTTCCTACTATTCAGCTTTAACAAGGAGACCCCAAAATGAAAAAGTGTAAAAGGGTACTACTGGGGTACCTAGGTGCGAACCGCGTGTGCAGAAAGGCGGCCAGCTCAAAGACACACCTCGATGGGGTTGTTGTTGTTGTTGTTGTTGTTGATGTGGTTGGTGCGCGTCGTCGTGCGTTGTTGTCCTGCATTGTTGTTATGCAGGGTTTGTCGGCAGTCAGCTTGTGTGGAGAATGGAACCCAGGTGAATGGCAGACTCACTGCTCCTTAGCTTCCGTGCTGCTTCGGACGCCAAGGATCGCATTCACAGAAGAAGACCATTGTGTTTGTGTCGACTTGCAAACAGGTCCGGTAGGGGCCACAGCGCTAAGTGCGTCACACTTTGTCAATGGCCTTGATTTGACGCCGAAGGTTTCTGTACGAGGCCTTCAAGAAGTGCGAAACTAAGAAGCTTCTGATGCTTTGCAATGTTTTGAGAGAAGCGATGTCTTGCCGAGTGGGAATTCGCTCGCACACCCGATTCTTGATTTGTTTTGAATTCTTTGACATGCCAAAGGGGCGTGTGTGAGTTCACTTCAGGGTACACCTGCACCGAGCTGAAAGGAGCACTGTTCAGTCACGACGCCAGCGTGCGACACAACATTTTCCAACATTTCTGGTATAAATTTTACATGAGGCACAGACCCCTCCACTCCAAAGTCTCCTCTACACTCTTTTTGGTCACCTGCTCATGTAGACCTTCGGGCCCGGCATTCCCTCATTCGATGCTGCTTGATTCAATGTATTGGCTTGCTCCTGAGCGAACGGCACAAATGAGGCTGAAACCAGGCCCAGCAGTGATGGAGCTGCACGGGCGCCAAAGTCTGACCAAGCGGATGCTCATCTTCCAGCAATTCATGGAGCGTTCCGCCCTTGGCTCAGCAAAACCGCCATGGCGTGACTTGTCGTGACTTAAGGTGAGCGGGCAGTGGCTTTAGTTTGCACTGACATAGCTGCGCGTGGTGCTGGTCTTGGAAACTTCACGTTTGCCGACGTCAAAAGCGCCATTTGCAACGTGCCCAGTGCTCGCCCAGGCGTGGATTTTCCAGCGGTTGACTGGGTCGTGCAGGCCGACTTTGCAGGGCATCCAGTCGTCAGCGACTGGGTTGTACAGACCCGGAGGCAGACTGCCCTGATACCGTGGACTCCTACATCCACCGTGCGCGACCCCCAAGCTCACTGCATTTAAGCTGGCTACAGAGTTGCGTCTTTGCGCTGAGTATGCGCGTGCGTTTTGCGCAGGTTGGTCGCACGGCCCGATACGAGAGCTTTTGCCTCAAGTATTTCAGTAAAGTCTTTTACCTGCAGCCAACTAAGCCAGCACTATTCGCAGGCACTGGCAAGTCAGCGCTCTTCTTGTTGCCGTCTGAGAAGCCGTTCGTGGACAAACTGACCCAGGTCGCACGTCCAAGGCATGATTCAGCCGGTGCATTCAGTGCCTTGCACAGGCTCGCGTGAGCTTGAAGGCGATCGCTGCGAAGCAATCCAAAGTGGTTTCTATCCAACAGAAGCTGGAGCGGGCCTTGTCTTGTTTAGCTCCGGCCGAGCTTGACTTCGAAGCTGGAAGCTGCAAGGAGCATGTGCTCTGAGGCCTCTGTGCTAGCAGAGTCCGGTGACATTCGCCACCTTGCTCAACGTGCGTTTGCGTCCTACATCCGCTCAGCGCCTGCCTCAAACACCCAGAGAGTGCTGGTTGGCCAATACTGTCTTGCAGGTCAGGCTGATGAAGGACAAAGATGTCTTTGACATCCAGGACGCAGCACACACGATCTCGCATAGTGGCTACGGAGCAAGCCTGACTTCAGCAGCTGCCAGGCCTTGTCAAAGGAAGCTTTTGCGGAGTCCTTGGGCTTGGCCGACGTGCCGGACATCGGAGCAGAATGGGAGGTGCTGTGCGCATAGACAGGCACGGCTGACTCTACTATATAGAGCGCTAGCGTCCCAGGCGAAAGACGAGGACACAGAACACAATAAGCTGAAGAAGCGAAAAAATCAATCGGCTTTACAGAGACTCAAGGAAAAGATCAAAGAAAAGAAGAAGGCCCTCCGCACAGCTGCGCTTAACTTGTTTCAATCGCGTGCAAACGCAAAATTACACGGCAGAGACCCTGTGAGTTGTTGTCACGCTAAGCTTAGGCCAAGTCGCTGCGCACTGCCTCAATCTGCAGATGAATCAGTAAGCATATCGAATCGTGCTAGGAGAAGATGCGGAGCCACAAAGATGAGGCAATGGGCGATTTCATTTGGTAATTTGACGGGACCTACCTTAGCATGTGTCAACTAGCAGGAGGCTTGTTGTGTCTTTGCAAAAAAAAAGGAAGAGGAGGAGGAACTGGAGCTGAGCCAGCAAGACAGCTCGAAGAAGAAGATCGGGAAGTGGGAGCGCCGACAACGGAGGATTGCGGCAGCCAGCAAAGCGAGTCGCGAATCCGTCGCAGAGGCAACACCAACTGAGGAGGACTTCTTGCAGCTAGTTGAGGGGCGACAAGCAGAACACGGCTCAGAATCACGCACTGAAGTGCTCCCGCCTAGCAAGAAGCGGTTGAAGATCCGCAAAGATGGATCGGCGGTGCAGGTCCAGAACCTAGCCAATTCCGACCTCGGCTGGAACTGCAGTAGAGTCTTGTGAGTGGGCAAAGGCAAGTGGCCAGCACGTTTTCTTCACAAAGCATGGAGCACAAGCCTCTGAGCTGGCTCAGCTGCAGACTCGGCTGGTCGCCTTCTTTACAAGATCTGATGGGCAGCTCATGCTTTGTGTGCTTAGGGTGGCAGACGAGATGCGTACGGTAGCTAATGTGCCAGATGAAGGAGGCCTGCGGTGGTTGTCTAGCTGCTCTGGGCTTGGGATGTATTTTGTAAATTCAGGAGATAGAGCCAGCTTCCTGAAGCGAGTACAGGACGAACTTGTGCCAGCCCAAGATTGTGCGACATAGGCTGTAGTGTAAGCGACGTTCGCCTCTGTGGAGTTGGGCTGAGGCAACGCGAGATTCATCTGACGCGGCCTTGAGCCGTTCGCGCCTTCAGAAGCGCCACCAGACCAAGCGCCGCAAAGAGCGCGCAGCAAAGGGCGCGCAGCAGGAAGATTTGAGAAGCGCCCTCAGCCAGTCAAACGATTTCAGGTATGCAGCTCTCTTGACATGCCACAATTTGACGAAGCTGTCTACCTTAAACATTTATGGGACGCAAAATGTGCAGATGCTGGAACTGAACTTGGCCTGTAAAAGGCCTTGCTGGTTCCTTGAGCCCAGGCTCCGAGTCTCCAGGCAGCCCGCCTCCCTCGCCCGCTCGGCCAGCTCAGCGAGAGCGGCCGGAGCAGGCAGACGACGTGAAGCCAAAGAGAAAGGCACCCCATGGTCTGGCAGTCTAGGATGTCGGATTCATGGTCCTTCGCATCTGTTGTCAGGCTCTGCCTCCTCCCGTGTCCAAGATTGCGAGCATGGATGACTTAGCAGACCTGGAAAAGAAGGCTCCAGCCTCGAAACTGGACACGCAAGACACGAGCGGAGCTTGTCACAGAAAATTGAGGCCTTGAACCGATTGGGCGGGCTCTTCGCTTGAAGCACGGCGAGTGTTGCGGTTCGAAGGTCGAGTTTCACAACAGACCGTGGCGAAGTCCACCAAATCGATTGTGCGGAATGCCCAAAATTTTGAACGCTCCCGTTGTTGGCTGCCATGCGGTATCTTATGCGCGAATGCAAGCAAAAGCAGCATGCCGTCTCGTACGTATTCTAGCTCTGAGGCCACAGTTGCTTCCTGGCTGTGGGATGGAAGACTGAATCAAGCGCCCTTTCAGACCAGCTCAATGTACGAATACGTTGCAATTTGCCAGCGTTTCCAGAACGTGCCAGGCTCTCTGGCCAAGTCGGGACCAGAAATTCCGCAACAGGGAGATCTTACTGTTTGCTCGAGCGCTCCAGGGCACGGCCAGATTCCATAGCAGTTGAACAGCCATGGATAGCCAGGTAATCACTTCGATGGGCGCATTGCAACGAATGTAGCTGGCTATTCAAGTCATCTATCCATCCCTGCGTACTGGCGTGCGCCTCCTCAATTGCTGTGGCCGGCTCACAGAGGGCTGCCTAAATCGTGTTTTCATTTGTATTTGAGGGCTGTAGATTCCCCAGGCTTACCGTATGGCTATAGGTTTGGGTTAAAGACACGGGACTCCAGGAAACACCAAGGGAAGAGGTGGGAGGGCAGACTACACAGAATCGCGAGGTCTGTGGCTAGCACAGCATCAAGCATTTCGCCGAGAGCAGCTCGGAGAGCTGTCGCACTCTCAATGTCTCTGATTGCTATCTATAATAGCTTCGCTGGAGCATGCAGCTTTGCAATGTTCTGCCAAAGGTTGTACATCGAAGTTTGCCAAATTACAGCCGCAACCGGCTGCCAAGCTCGCAGGCCCTGTGGGGAGGGCTGCAATTCTTCAAGTTCGAAGCCGCCATGTTATCCTTGGTCTTGGTGAGATCTTCATGCGGAGGCATGTAAGGCTTGGGCAGAAGACCTGCCTGAAGCTCCTGAACGAGCCTGCGATGCGCGCAAGAAGGCCAGGGAGCTGTGTGCATCATCCCTCTTCTTGGGAAATGCCTTGCGGTACACCCCACACGTGGGGAGCAAGGTATCAAAATACCTTCAAAGCAACAGCAAGCAGAAGAGTGTGAGAAGAAGCAGGTAAATGCAAGTGCTTCGCTTCATCCAGTTTTGTGTTCTTTTTGTGTTGCGCAGTTGCAAACTCATTTTCAGAAGACAACTTTGAGCATTTATGAAAATCCAAGGTGCGTGGAGCTCTCATGCCAGATGGTAAACTAAAATGTTGCGTTTAGGTGTCGGGCAACAGGCACAGCCGGAATACTATCAGCTACCATTACTATTTCAATTATACTGCTACTATTATAACAGATGCCGCTGTTTGCATGCAGGTGCCAGCTAGCACATCTGCCCCGTGGCCCTCGAGCAAGCTCAAGGCCTTTGACGCATTTTCTAGTTTTGCTTGGGGGTTGGGATAGTGGAAAAGAAAATGGAAACTACTGTATCATTTATTGGGTTATACAGGGGATCATATAGGGATTATAGGGGTTATAGTGCCCAAGCTCCTATCCTTAACTTTACATTCGCGAAGGCTCAGCGGCCCACTTCACTCACATTCAGCTTAGTGTGGGAGCTCCTGAAGGCCTCTGTAAAATCCCACGAAGTAGCCTTCTACGAAAGTAATTGGTGAGTGGCAACACATAACTTCCTGTGTTGTAGATTTGTCAGTACGACGTAAAAAAAAATGTCTTATCTCTGGGTGCTTTCAGGAGGGCAATGATATGAAGTTATGAGGTGAACCCTGCTGTGCTGGCTGGAGCGGCTTTCCATTTCCAAGCGTGTCAAGATCCACTCAAAGTTCCGCATGCTCATGTCTTGATGGAAGGCACGAAGGACTTGCACTACAGAATCCTTGAAAAACAAACAGCTCGCTTGTGCAGCCGCCGTTTAGTCCTTCAAACTATTGCCGCCGTTCTCCTGTCGAAGAAGGCCTGGCAACTTGCTGAGGGGCAACAGAGGGTGTGCTCAGTTGTTTTCTGCTGACAGGCGATGTTCCGCTCGCCAGGGGTGAGAAGGGCCAGCCCCTTCCAAGCCGTCCCTGCTGCCCGCAGCGAGCTACCAGATCTCCGCTACACATTTTTGCAGCGTTTTGGGGAGAGCAAGGAGGAGGGGTGTCTTGCCGGTCTTCCAGGAGGTGGACAACGCCTACAACGATGCAGGCAAGTACTACCAAACAATGCAAGCCAACGTCATGGCTGAGGCAGTTTCGTCCTTCAGTGCAGGGGCCCTCGCATCTTGCTAGATGCACAGCATGGCCCTGCAGGCTTAGTTGTCTCAAAGCTAGTGGAAACTGGCCGAAGCCAGAATGGGCCGGATCAGTCGCAGAATGGAGCTTCGGAACTTCAGCTTAAGGACAACGTGGTGGAGTTCGACAATGAGCTCTTTTGGGTGACGCAGTGTGAGGTAAGCTCGCACAATGTTCAGGGCGGCATCAAATATACCGCAGCTTTGGAGGGCTTCTCCTCCTCCAGGCGTGAGCTGCAATGCGCATCAGACTTTCATGGACACTACGGCGTCCAGCAGCTTCGAGTACACATTTTTGCGGGAGACTACCTGAATCGTTACCGGTGTGCCAGTGAGCTGCTGCTTGGCCTGGCGCTCACGGATACCGACCTGGAGAAGGCTGTGCTGAACCCGCAACGTCGCATTGCTGGCACATACAGTCTTGGCGGTGGCCTTCGCGATGACCTGATGCCGATCAACCCAGACCAGCGCAAGGCAGTTTTGGGCTTGTCCAAGCGCCTGGAAATCATTCATGGACCTCCAGGCACGGGCAAGAGCACAACTATCTTCCACATGCTCAGCTCGCGCTTGCCAGTAAAACCATGTGCTGCCATAGTGACCTGTGTCACGAACCAAGCTATCGATGCAGTGTCTGAGAAGCTAGCACAGACGCATGACTGCCGTGGTGGCTTGCGCATTCTAGTTCTAGGGAATCCCGAACGGGTCGGGCAGACGGCTGGGCAGTACACCTTGGAGAATCTATGATAAAAGGATGAGCTGGTCGTAAGCATGTCTTGGGCAGCAAAACTGGTCCAGAACCTTGAGAGCAGTGAAGGACCTGCAACGCACCAGGAGCGACCGCTTGTGGAGGCCGCATCAGAGATCCAGGTTGCCCTTGGCACGCATTGAGCGGCTCCCGTCTGTGCTGCAATACCAGCGCGACCTTGATGAAAGGAACCGCCAGCTTCGGAGAGATGGCATGGCACCAGAGCGTTACGACCCGTTGCGTTTTTACTTGGATCACATTGACGGCATCAAGAAAAAATTGGCCGAGGCCGTAGTTCAGGTGGTGCCTGCAAGGCTGTTGAAGCGGCGCCGCTTTGCGTCTCCGGGAGTCCATCGCTTCTACCATTGGGATGTACACACTTTCCTCACACGTCTGGAGAAAGCCTGCCAGACAGCAGAAGCAGCCTTGCGCGTTGCAACGCACACTGCCCCTGCACGAAACGTCCGCCGGACGCGTGTCCTGCTATGCACCATTCCATCCAGCTACAAGGCTGTGAAAGTCCCAGTTCAGGGTTTAAGCGTTTAGCCATGTGCCTTTCCTCCACAGCATTTTCAAATATGGGTGTTGCCACAGCCATGACGGTCACAGCCATACCATGCAGCCCGACCACAGCCACGACCAGAGGGAGTGATCCACAAGAGAGGGTGTGAGGCAGTTCCGGGCCGAAAAGCTTGGCCTATTTGATTTGAACCCTGCAGGTGCTACAGCTGCAGCAAGATTATGCGGACGACTTCCCCAAGAGGCTTTTCATGGGCATTTTGGATGAGGCTGCTGCAACCGCTGAGACATACATCCCATTGATTTTGCGCTTGCGTGTTGAGAACCTGGCGCTGCCAGGTATGCACGTGCGCGTAATTTCGGGTTGTTTTGAAGTCTGCTAGTTTGGTTTCCTTGCTGGCAACAAGCAGCCACTAAGGCTGCTGGGCGACCACAAGCAGCTCAGCCCGTTGGTGCTAGCTTCCGGCGGGGACCGCGAGATCAAGGAAAAGCTGCTAGATTTCAAGATATGTCAAAGCAAGGGTTCGACACTTCACTGCCTCTCGAACGACCAGCTTCCAGAGTCCTATCAGAAAGAAAGGCCAGTATTGAAGCCGAGGAATGTGGACCGAAGTCTCATGGAGCGAGCAATTGACAACGGCCTTCGACCGCACGCCCTCAGGGTCCAGTACCGCATGCCAGAGGTTCTCTGCAGGCTTGTGTCAGACCTTTTCTACGACGGATGCCTCAGATAGTCCGCAGATAACATTCTAAACGCCTCCGGTCCGCCATTTTGTTGTCTTTTCGATGCGTTGGCTCCCTTCTCGGCGCTTTGAGCGTGGCCGCCGGCATGTAAGGTGGTACACTGCAGACGGCTCCACGGGAAACCAGAACGATCACTGATCACCTCGGACGTCTCTGCATCGGGCCGCGGCGTGAGCTTCGCTGGTTCAATGTGACGGTTTCGGAGCTTGACGTGGGCACTTCCAAGGTCAATGCCTCAGCTGGCGTTCAAACCCAGTTCTTCCTGAAGTTGCGCCCGAAACTTCCTTTGGCTAAGGTCAATCCCGCAGAAGTTGTTCAGGTGTTGGAGCTGACCTTTGGCTGCTGTTATTCATGTTCTGTTGCCAGAAGTCACACCTGTTTCTGGCAGCCTGCATTTTGGGGGCAAAGGCTCAGAACTGATCCTGTTCTCAGCCGCGCGTTCTAGCGTATTATGATCATCACGCTCTACAAGCCCCAGGCAGCCCTGCTCCAGGAGATTCTCTTGAAGGAGATCCCACACCGAATGAGCTCTGTGAAGGCCAGATCCTTTGCTGCTTCAAAAGGACAGATTGACAAAGATCTCGGAGTATTGGTAAGATCCTGATCCTTTAGCTGACCACAGCTTGCAAAGGTTGTCACCGTCGATGCAGCTCAAGGGTCAGAAGCTCCACGTATCACCCTCTCCACCGTCCGAAGCAACTCCGCTTACAACATAGGATTTGCCCACAATCCGCGGCGGCTGAATGTGGCCATCAGTCGGGCTCAGAAGACTTTGACCATAGTTGGCAGCAGGGACGTCTTCGGCTATTCCAAGCCAAATTGGAACCGTGTGGTGGCTACCTTCAGCAGGCAAGGAGAAGTGGTTGCAGTGTCGCCCCACACGCTTCGGAGCTCGCCCTCTTGGCACGTCGCCGAGGAGCGTGCATTACAAATGTCTGAGCGTACCAAAGGCAAGGGTAAAGGCCCCTCGCTTGCACTTCCTCCCGCTTTTTTGGCGATTGACATAAGGTAAGGACAGCCCTACATCCAACACCGGAACTCGTGCCCATGCTCAGGCTCAGGCTCTCGTCCCCAAGAGCTCTGTCTCCATTGGGCTCGTGGTCATTGCAGGTATGGAAGCACATGCCGGTATAAGCATGACTAAAGTCATGCTGAGCCCATTTTGTCCCAGCTGACTTGTTGGCTTGCAAGCGGCCAGGCAGATAAAGCATCTGCATGTACAGAGTATCTGGAATGGAAGCACCGACCATTCGCCAGGGTGCCTTGGTCGACATTCCAGAGCCGAGATCAGCAGCGATGCTTTGCTGGATGGATGAGTGTGGCAGTGTCATCTGTATGTACTCCCAACTCCAAAATCTCCCCACCCGCCACCAACGGACCTCATTTGATTTCTAGACACGCCACATCAGTCTCTGATTTTCCCTGCATGTGTGGCAGGTACCTGAGCAGCCAACAATTTCTTCAGTAATCAAAAGACACACAGAGCATCAGAATGTACGGACTGGTTGCTCAAGCCGGACTCCGCGGCGCTCCCAGGCTCCGAGTAATCCAGTTGGCATATGAGCAACGGTCATTACGCGCATATCAGGGAGGAAGAGGAAGAATGTAGGAATCACGCAAGACGCCCCAAAAGCCATAGGATCCCCCCGAAAGCGACACCCATCAATCTAAGACTAAAGCATAACCGTGTTTTGGCTGAACCACCCAAAACCGATATCTTTCATGCGTCCAAAGCCAAAACCCCCAAAAGCAATAAGACCCCTAAGTTGTCCATGGTATCGGATTACACAAGGAGCTTCAGCAAACGCTCGTACATGACGGCTTCATTTGGGTGCAATGTTGGTTGGACTTTCTGGGAGAGCCAGCAATTGGCCAGGTTTCATGATTTATCTTTGAACTAGCTCCCTGCACGGACTGGCATCGCTGGCGCCATTTTTGCATGAATCCCTGCAAGAATGGCAGCCATCAGCCGATGACAGTTGCAGTCATGCAGCCAAAATGCACTGCGCAGCAGCTCACTGAAGAGCCGGCGTTCGGCTCCGTGCAAAGAAGTGTAGTCTGCCGTTTCTCAGCTGGGAAGAACTTTGGCTTCCCGTATTCTACCTGGCTTTGCTTCATGTGTATCAGGTGCTGTTCTTCGCAGCAGAGAATCTGCAGTTGAAGGCCTGGGAGGGGGAAGGAGAGGAATTGCCGTTGACCCTGAGAAACTTGCGGTGCATGCATCTCGTGAGGATGAGCGGCCACAGGGGTGGTTCTTTACAACCCTGCCCTGTTGCATGTCCTCGTGCGCCCCTGCTGTGACACAGCCAGGTCGGGCTTCACCAGCCCTCAAGTTCCCCCAACTGTCGAAGCCTGAGCTGTCTGCCAATCGATTTCCCTGAGCGATTGAGGGTTTTTGCAGCAATCCCTGATTGCATTCCTGTGTGATCCTTGAAAGCCATTTCAAAATAAGCACCCGGCAACCTAGCAGCGAACAGAGCTACTCTTGACGGCCAGTGCTCTGACTTGGATGCTTTTTTCTGGCAGACAGGGCTTGTCAGGTAGGTCCTTGTGGATCTATTTAAGATCATTTAAGGATGGGCGTGGGTTGCGTTAAAGGCCCAATACCATTCATGCTGAGGGTTTGACTTTCAAATCGTGACCTGAGGATTCTCGTGGTCGACGAGCAGCTTCTCGAGTGGCTTTCGACACTTGCCCCGCGACAGCATGTAAACGTATCATAATGAATCCTGTGTTTGCAGGCATCATTAGGAATCCAAAGCAATTTGTTCATCAGGCTACCAGTAGGCTTTTGAATCATGTAGCATGATGTAGCATGTGGTCGAGAGCCTCTTGCGGGAAAAGACTGGCAAAGTGCAGGCATCATGACGTTTGAAGACAGAAACGTCTTGGGGGCCCTGTTTTTGCGAGCCATGTGCAACCCCGATGCTGCAGCAACGAGCGCTGCTCTCGTGACAATTTTCAAGGGATTTGCTCTAGAGAAGGCAAGCCTGCCTGCTACATAGCAGCAAACGGAAAGTGTTAGAGACTTGGCCATTCGTCGGATAGCCGCTTACTGCTGCATACCATGCACGAGAGAATATCGCTGGCATGCCACAGGAGCATGCTGGTTCCGAGATGTGGCGCCGGAACCCCACAAGGCTGTGAGTGCTAAGCCATTGCAAGCAGAGACAGGCAGAGTTCCAGAACTCCCGCAAGCTTGCCAGGCGATGACTGGAGCAGATCTGATGAGGAGGCCAAGAGCCTGGCAGTCCCTGGTAGTCCAAGATAGCTGTCTGGCAGGTGCAAAATCATTCGTTGATATCTGCTGTCAAAAGAAACATTCCGCAATCTTCAGCAGTCTTTGGAGGGAGGCTACAGTTGAGCAGGAGCATAATAGTGCAAACAGAATGCAGGCGCTGTGTGCGCATTTGGAGTCAGTGGTGTTGGCTTTCGTGGAATCCTGCGCAGGTCAAGAAGGCGGCTGAGCTGCCTTAAAACGAGGCACTGCAGATGCGGGAGCACAAGAAGGGGGAAAATAGCAAAGCATGACAGATGCTTGTGTTTTTTTTGCATATTCGGAGAGTGCAGTGCGTATCTGTGCTGCTAACTGCCGATGCATGCTCGATTTGACCTGCCGGCTCGTGAATAACCAGCACTAAGACGCTGGTTCTCCTTTTTGATCCGGCGCAGCTTCAGCCACCTACCACCGTCGTGCAACAGAACATAGAGCCCAAGTACACTCGTAGTCTTTGATAGGACCATAAGCAAGCAACCTTGCGGCCCTTGTTGCCATGGACAGATTCGATACTTCCAAAGACCCACGCTTCAAGCGTGCACCACGACATGTACGGCGCGTGCAAGTCGATGGGCGGTTTGCCCGCATGTTCAAAGATTCACAGTTTGTGGAAACTCCGAAGGTTGATGCTCGCGGCCAAAAGTTGAGCCGCCAAGCGGGAAAGCAGAAGCTGCAAGAGTTCTATGATCTAGCAGGCGTTGAAACCTCAAAAGCTCCCAAAGAAGCCAGCCTTGGTGTCAAGATGGACGAGGAGTTTGAGGACCTGGAAGAAGCAGAGGAGGAAGAGGAGGAGTTACCTGAAGAGGCACGGTCATGAGACAATTCAAACCGGCGCCCTCCAAAAAACTGATATGGGGCCCTGCCGGATTGCGCTATTTGTGACTATGGTTGAAACCATTTCGATTCTGAACGCGCTAGATATACTGTTGCAGTGTTCCTATTTAGGATCAATAACTCTCCGAGAGGGTTTGATGAGTTGAAATATAGAGCCAGGTCAACTTGATTCAGCGAGCCCAAATCTTTTCGAAGCAACTAGGTCAAGCCAAGTCAAAAACAATCAGATGAAACTGATTTCGCTTATAAAACGGTAAGTAAGATTTATCATAACCAGGTAGCAGGCCGTCAACCGTAATGAATCGACGAGGAAGTGAAGACCTAATTACTGCAACCAAATGAAGAGGAATTCGGGAGCGGTTCCAGCATCTGCATAGATCCTGCCTCATCCTGCACATTCAACAATCAGAACATGCAACTAGACAAGTACAGCCCCCTTTTTTAGCAAATTCCGGGAAGTCTGGCTCGCTGAGAGACCGGTTTCTGATGAGAGCATTGATTCTCAGAAGCTTCCCAGCGAAAGCAAGATCCCCTCGCTTGCACACAGCCCAACCTCGGACTGTCCTGTATATCCCTTGAGGTTTTGTAGGGTTGCTGAGTTTGGGCAGGACGAGGAGGATGAGTCGGAGGAGGCTGAAGAGGATCACACTTCTTCTGCCTGGAACGTCGGGCAAGATAATGTGCCAAGTGGTGATGCAACCCGGCGGCTTGCCGTCATGGGTTGTGACTGGGATCATGTTGCTGCCGGCGATCTTATGGTGCGCCTGGCTTCATTTGTATTGTTCGGCATGGTTGAACTACACTTGAAATCCTTCTGGCATCGTCGTCTCTTCGTCAGGTCATGTTCCGGACATACTTAAGCGCAGCTCGTTCCAAGAACCAAGCCGGTAATGCAACTTGGATGGCACACAGACCATGTGAAATGCATTGAGATTTCATACGAACATGTATTTGGCATATCAGCACAGCAAGCGCTACGTTAAGGCTTGCCATGCTTGTGATGAAACGCTCATGACTCTGATTTGGAAGGATTGACGGACGGAAGAGAACGCCGCAGTATTGGATGAATGAAGCGTACGGTCCACAACAAATCTCAGGAAGGTGTCAGGGTGAAACGCCGAGTCAAAGACTTTAAGAACTTGAGGTGATCCGACACAAGGATCGTTTGAAGACACGAGGGGGGGGGGGGACGGGTCGACCGCAAAATCTGCTACGGAGCTCTGACTGGCGATTGAGGCGAAGCCTTTCTAGTTGTGAAAAGGGATTCAGCACCGAACAACTGGCCGGTTAGCTGTCATGAGTCTTCTTGTGCACGGACCCAAACTATCCATACTTGAAAACACTTAGCCTTTGCCTTTGCCAGCTTCAGTGGGATAGACATTGGACCAGGCCGTGCCCAGCTTCAACAATGTGCGAGTTGCAATGTGCGAGTTGTAATGTGAGATGCAAACTCCAAATCTAGAACGCCTGCCCTCCACACATTGGACGGCACGACTGCAGAGTCGCAAGATCGCTGTGGTGGGGAGGAACTAGCTGCTTCGGTTACAGAGTGCCAAAATAAAGAGGCTTGTAGAAACGTGGCCGGGGCGAACTCTAGCTGTGGTGGACAGTGGGGGAATGATGATGAGAGGCTGAGAAGAGTTAGCGATCGTGCCCTGCCCCGTGCCCACAAGCCAATAAAGCCTCGCCATTTCAGTTCGTCCGTGACTGTGGACGTACAAATTATTTCCTTGCGCCAGTCAGTCTTGGGTTATTTGTGGTGCCGAAGGTTGAGGACTATTCGGCTATGGCTTGACAGGGAATTAATATCTGTCAAGCCATAGCCCAGCAGTCAGTCAGGAAGGGAAGTGGCATGACCATCATAGATTCCTTACCATCGCTCTGGGCTTGTTAGAGTTCAGACGACATGTGCACTTCTCCTTACAGAGTTTCGGAAAACATGTGAGCGGCGGCCAAAACCCCCCATGTGGGACTTTATATAAACATGAAAATAACGATTGCAGTTGTTCCTTGGGCGCGTCAGTGTCGCAAGTGGCATTCGCGGTAGCACAACAAATAAGAACAAAAGGTTCAAATGGTTAAGGCCACAGTTCATGTGCACTTCTCCTTATCTCATCGCCCAGCTACTTTGAGTGCCCTTCACGTTCCCCAGAGTGCATTTCTTAAGGCTTGTCGCAGAACTGAAGATTGAAAAACATTCGGGACCAGATGTTGCTCGAAGAGCAGGGTTTTTTCCCAGTGTTTGCAAGTCGTTGGCTGCGGGCCTGAAGAATTCTGCTTCTAATGTTTTGAAGGGGATACCCTGAAGGCCCTAAAGGAAGTACCCGTCCCAAAAGTTTCTTAGGAAAGTTACAACAGAGCAGACTGCTGAAACGTGGTTACCGCCGATCCATCCACCCCTTAGACTATGCTCGGCTGGAAAGGTCGAAAAGATCAGCGTGTATCCATCTGATTATGGAATTCAGCGCGCCGAGCGGGAGGCAGGGTACTCGAAGCGCAGACTGCTGGCAACTCACGGCTGATGAAAAGTTCGCAGTGCAGGCCATCGAGGGTCCCTTAATTGCCGACGAGATGACCAAAGCCGACGAGGAGAATTCAGAGGCGCAGCAAGAAGCGTTGAGACCGCCCGGCTCGTTTCTGCCATGCTTCTTCGAGCGTCTGACTTTCAGAGCAGGGTGTTTCGATGTGTTTCGGTTGATGGCTTTGCCCCTTGGCCTGTTGCCTGCCTGCCAGGGCGGTACCAGATGGATCGCACAAAATATTTTTGGGCTCTGGTCGAGTGTGATTCAGAATCCACCGCCACATGGCTTTATGATGAGATGGACGGAATTGAGGCGGACGGTCCGGGCCTTGGATCTAGCTCAGCACGGCCTTGCAAGGTCCAACTTCTGGAACCCCTGCCTAGGCATTTGTCCTGCCACCCTTGACCTACGTTTTGTGCCTGATGATTTGGTGCCTCCGCATGAGCCGACGAGTGTGGCAACTGAAGTTCCGAAGAAGTTCTCAGGCCCAGCAATGCTGCGGTCTGCAACTGGACACACCAAAGTGAAGTGCACATGGGACGAGGCCCCACCTCAACGACGAAAAGATCTCATGAAAAAGAGATTCTCCCCAGCGGAGCTGGCCGACATGGACCTCCGTGACTACTTAGCTTCAAGCTCTGACGAGTCCGAGGCGAAAGGTGAAGCAGCAAAAGAACTGAAGGCTCTTGTGGCAAACAGTGACTCTGAGGGCGGTGGTGGGGGTGATGATTGCGAGGACAGCGATTCAGAGAACCCAAGCAGCAAGCCGTCCAAAGCAGACGGAAACATGGAGGCGACCTTCAGTGTGAAGGCCAGCATGCTAGAGCAGGAGCTTTCGGAACGTGCCCAGAAACAGGGCGGGCGTGGTGTGCACACCCTGGAGTCGGAAGAGCCCAAGAGTGCGTGGCAGAAGTATTTGGATAAGCGCAAGGAAAAGAGAAGGGAGAAGAGACAGAAAGCCAGAGAAGAAAAGGCCAAGCTTAAAGAAGACACTGGGAAGGAAGCCGGCAAGGGTCCGAAGCTGGATAAGCAGAATGGCCAAGATGGGGGTGAAGATTTGGAACTGCTGGTTGAAGCAGAGACAGCAGACGGAGCGCGAAGCTTCAACCTTCGGGGCCCGCAGCGGCGAGCACATGATCACGGTGTGAAGGATGCAGCCGCATTTCAGATGGACGTCCATGACCGTCGCCTTGAAAAGGTTTTCAACAGTGCCGACTTTGAGATTGACCCCACCAATCCTGAGTTCAGGAAGTCTGAAGGAATGTCCGAAGTTCTCCGAGAAAAGCGCAAGCGCCGCACGAAGGCGGTGCCGAGAGCGAGCGCTGGAGAGGAGGCACCGCCAGCTACAAAGCTTGCGAAGCCCGCCATGGCAGCTACGGCCGGTAAAGCCGGCTTGCAGCTCTTTGCATCAACGAGGCCAATCAGCAAATCGGCTGAGGCCGGGATGAACCTGGCTGAGACAGCTGATGTTCATGCGAGCGTTTCGATGCCTCGAACCAAAAAGACGCGCAAGAAGAAATCAAAAGTGTGAAAACATCAGACCTTGACGGATATAGCTTCAGTCCAAACTATGTGTGTATCTCCTGCCACGTCGAAGCTGAGCGGCTTAGCTTTGCCCAATTGTCCTTCCGCTATTTGTGGCCCAAGTGGCAGAGCCAGTTGGGGGAGATGCCCTGCCAGGCAGGGCTCGGCATGTAAACATGATCCCATCAGGGCTCAGCCTATCCATACCCTACATGTTCGTCTGCCACTGACGGTACTTGCTGGCAGATGCTGATGACAATCACGAAGTAGTTTCCTAGGTGCATGACAACGTGCAAGTTGCTGTTGTTTTTCCTTGGGTGTCTTTCGCGCGCTGGTCATCCCGTCCACAGGTGAAGATCACCGATGACATCTACTCCAAGATCGGCGCGGTCGACGCTGCCTTTCTTGCCCGGCTACACGGCCCGCCTTGCAGGGCCTTGCATAGCTTTGCTGCAAAACAGTCTCCTCTGATCGCGTTTGAATCAGTTGCCTTTCAGGCTCACGACCTTAGATTCAACAGCCGGAAGCCACAGACCCTCTCTTGGGGTCCTGGTGGGTCGACAGATGCCTTCCACAAGTTGAAGCAGAAGGTTCACAAGGCCCCGAAACTCATGCAGACCCAGCCTTCAGAAAATTGCGGGGTACCTGTAAGTGATGGACCGCTGCGAGGTTCCCACACTAAATCTGGCAATTGTTGAGAAGCTCCGCGATCCATTCCATCGCTATGATATGTCTTACAGGCTCTGCTACATACCGTGATTGCGACACGTTTGAGATAGCCATACTTGTGCGAAGCGTCATGGACAGGTCACCGACGCATGACGAGAAATCTTTCATGAGGGAGTCTGCTCGCAACACATATCGGCCGGCCATCCCGCCAGCACGGTGCCAAGAGATTGCAGATTGGCCCCAGAGTCGCCCAATGCTGAGTGCTTAGGCCTGGTTGCAGCATGACCGGCAAGTTCTGAAGTTCAGTGCCTACTCTCAGGCCTATGAGCATAGCATTGTCAATTAGCCATGTGCGCAGTACCTTGCCATTTTGGGAAGACAGGAGCCGGTCTATGAAAGCCCAAAGGAAGCCTTCCGCATTCGATGCTGCAACGTTTATTTCTATTTAGAAGACGGGACAATGATGGCTTCCCTGGCAAGTTTTTTTCTGGGGCTTGTGTCGGCAGCTGGTAGCCTCAGCGTCCGCCAGGTGTCGGAGCCGAAGGTGGAGAACTCGGGCATGTCTCAAGGCCCTTCGGACTGCAAAAGGCACTTGTGTGTGTGCACCTTACGCTTTGAGCATCCAGGCACCTGGATAAAACGGCACCGTCTGCCCAAACCCGAATGCATGGGTGGGGGTCTCTACACATGTGATGACCTGAGGCTGGAGCGGGTGTTTGTTTGCTCGATGTGCAGAGATGTTGCTAGCAGGGTGGGATGCACCATTAGCATCTACTCTCAGCTTTTTCGTCTCGTGGCGTGTGATCAGCCCGGGCCTTTGCTTACAGCCATGTCAGTCTTGTTTGTAAGCTTTGGTTCTTGGCCTTGATTTTGAGTGTCAAGGTTCACTAGAGACTTTTATCAGCATGCGCTCGGCGTAGAGATGGAGGCTGATGAGGAGCTCGCTGGGTTGTTTCGACGGCTTTATAGGGCATCCCTCCTGGCTTCACGTCCTGTAGTACGTGTACACTTCCCACCATTGCCATGTACTGGTAGCTTGTGCCATTGCAACTGATGAATTGTGATACATGTCCAGAGCTTGATGGAAAGCCACAGGCACTCTTTAGCTGGTGCTGGACCAGGGGCCGCTCGTAGAAAGCTCTCATGCTGGCGGAAGTCTGATTCGGCAGGATGCTCCACTCGACTCGTTCCGGGCATCTGAGATAGAGGACTGCTGCGCAGATCTTGCGATGCAAGTTAGCCGCACTGCGATAGACTATGGGCAGGATAATGCGTGCCTGCCTCAGCAATGCAAGTGCTGCGAGCCACATCGCCCGTGTCATGAGCTGTACACTTTTGTTCATCTTCTGCCCGCCTTACTCGTTCCCCATCAAGAGCGCAGATCTCCTGGGACGTGGTGCCCGCGCCCACATCAAAGACAGAACACTTTCAGCAATGTTGGCATGCGCATGCCCGAAAGAAATTCGATTTTTTGGGACAGAGCCGTGTAGATTACGCAGTTTTTGTGCCACTTCACATTTGATTAGGGTTACACTATGTGCGGACAGTCTCGCACAAGAACCTTGCTTCTAGCAAACTTTGCATCAGAACGCGGAGAATATTTGCTTGTTGTAGACAAGAGGCACACTCAATATCCTGCAGTTCAGCAAGAGGAGGACCGGAAATCCATGTTTAATCCAGCATAATCCAGCGTTTCGGCAAGTGCAGCACGCCCATTTTAGCAGGTGATTCCTTGCCTGCCCTTCCCGTGCTCGTTTCACATGCCGAACAATGCTAGGCGTTGCGATAGGTCATCCACACCCACACACACACGCGCGCTCGCGCACACACGCATCTATTGCTGGGCTTGTGTAGCATGTCGAATCTGGATCGACCTGTTCTTCAGATCCCTAATTCAGTGAGGCCGGAGACGAAGGCTCTCATTGCTGCGAGAAGTGCGCGCCTTGCTGAGAGCAAGGAGGCCAGAAAAAGCAGCATTTTTGCAAAGCCTTGCCAGTTTCAACGCCATGTGCAGTATCATCATCTTTCTGCCGGCGGCAACCGCAAGAATGCAAAGCTGGAGCAGTATTTGGAGAACGACCGGAAGGCCCAGCAGATTTGGGGAATGGAGCACGCGCGGAAGTCAGACCACATGCTCCCCCGGAACGCAGACCCATCACAAGTGGACGAGGTACTTAAAGTAGCCTCTTTCGGGATTTGGTTTCGTGATGCTCGTTGATTAATAGCCTCAACTGCGATGCACAGGAGATAGTCACGAACCCCCCAAGATAACATCAACGATTTCTTTGCCCCATTGACTGCAACTGATCACGGGGCGAGAGGAGTGAGCGTTCTAGCATTTGGGGCAGGGATGACTTGCTTGCGCAAGTGCACCGTAATAGATCAAGACAGCACCGGTTTGCCAGCATGCAAGGTGTAACAGACCACCACTAGCGATTTTGGCCAGGACTCGGGAAAGCAAGCTTGTTGTAAGAGTTTTGAGCTCTGATTCTGCCCTGATCAAGCTGTGAGTCATCTAACGGTGCACATGCAGGGCTTCATGCAGGCTACCCCGTGCCAAGCAGTGGCTAGGAGGTTTTGCTCCAACAGCTGTAGCATCATCCTCGCAGCACATACTGTTGGTTTTCCGCGAAGAGCTGCGAAGCACTGTTGCTAGTGTTCGGGTGGCCCAAGAAAAGAAGCAAAGATTGGCTACTTTGACGAGCTGGGGGTGGGCGCCGCCGCAGTTCTGTAAGACGGAATGGTGAGGGGGACAGTGAGCATGTATGGAGTACTCAGCTCCATCCACCTCAAGGTCACCCTCACCCTCAGAGATTTAAGTGCAGCACATTCTCGTATTGGCTCCAGCCGTTTTGGCTTTCTTTAAGGCGGGCAGGAGGAACTCGCCCATCCTCACTTCTGAAGGGAAAGTGCATGAGCGGCAGGAACAGTCTGGCATCTCACTCGCAGCGCGGCAAGGTTGCCGCCACAGGAAAATGCTGATAACAACTTAAGCTGGGGAGCTTTCACAGCCAGGCCCGCCGCCCAGAAGATCCCAAAAGAAGACCCATTTGATCGCGTGAAAGTTTGTTCAAACACACGCCCGCAAAGGTGCACGTCATCGAACCTCAAAAAGGCGGTTTCCTTTTGACAATGAACGGAAAGAGAAATCTTGTTGATACTTGGAGCCTCAGGGTGACCTTGTTGCACGGCCTTGCTCGACACTGAAAGTCGCTTCTATGCGCAGCTCGTTGAGTGCTACGTGTGGAAGACGCCATGTATCCTTGCCGAGCTTTTTTAAATATTGCCTGGCAATCCTGGCACACCAAAAGCGTCCAAAAGCCTTTGTAACGACGGATCCCCGCCAGAAGTCTTCATGACCACGACACTTGTGTATTGCAAGGTGAGAATACCTCATTCGCCCGGGAACAGGTTTCTCTATTGCACCACCACAGAATTTGATGAATCTGACAATACCTGAGCACTCAGCACGGCGCCGTGATTCATGCAGAGGTGTTGCGATTCAATTGCTATTGGAACGACCACACCAAGTACGGCACTCGCCAGTGCCTTGTCCTGACCAATGCAAGGGGTGCAGTTCAGCAAGACGTCAAGATCAACATTTCGAATAGCTGAATTACTTGCTACCCACTTGGTTCTGCCACCTTGCAGTAACTAATTAAACACCTCATTTTGCGGGGGCTGTGAGCACATTAGCTTTCATTTTGGTTGGCCATCGTGGGGTGGTGCATTATTTAATGGACATAGCAGTTCGCTTTGCTTGATTGAAGGCCTCCTCCTTTGCAGGTACTACACCTTGCACTACTATCTAGCAGATGACACCGCTGAAATATTGGAGAACATGTCCAGGCCTTGACGAGCATGTTTCCAACCATCAGAGTTGCTCCATCGAGTTAATATGTTACAAATGAGATCAGCTGCGCAGGAACTCTGGCCGGGATCCATATCCAACGTTTTGGAGGCGGTCACCCTTGCGCAAGAGCCCTGCCTCGCCGGCATGGATCTTCGAATCTTCCAATATTCAACTCCGTGATGGCAAGCTGCTACCCTGAGTAAAGTCATGTCATGCATTCCTGCGGGTTGCTTGTTCTCCTTTTGTGTTCGCAGGATGTAGGCTGTGATCTTCATTGCTTTCCTGTCAAATGGTGTCTATTCGGATTGTCTGCCAGAATATCAGCGCGATACCGGGAATGGACGTCGAATCGGCCCATTGCTCAGCTCCATGCAGCTCCGTGTGTTGTGCTATGACTGGCAGACAATCTGAGCCTGGTCTGGGTGGTGATAGGGCTTTGAAGCAATTTTTCAACCCGTACATAGTCACATCAGTTTTTGATTAGTTGAGCTTTGAAGCCGTGAAGGTCGTGTACAAACCGGAGGACTTGCTGATTGGCGAGGCATGCGTGAGTACCATCCAGCACTACCTGCAGCAGAAATCCCATTGGAAGTAGACAGCAAAGCCCGTCCAAACAAGCTCTCCACCAGTTTCCTTCATGCCAGTGTGTTCAAGTGCTTGGACGCGACGTTTTTCTCTACGACTGTGACTCCTTCACGCGGGACAGCGCCTCAGCGTTGTGGTCACACGACAGTTTTTTTTCGCATCATGTCTTCGTGCGTGATCCATACTTACCACGTCTTCTTCTTGCACAGCTGCGCGGAAGGACTTCTATCGCCAGTTCATGAATTTGGAACAGGACTCCATTCCGATCGAAAACCCCCAGCTGGTGAGCCCTTCCTGGTCACGGAATGCACATCTGCTCATGCAGCTGGGAATGAGGTACACACCAAGCTGCGATTTCCACCTCACATCGGCTTCGGTTCTGAGGAGGCAATTCTTGACTTCCATGAAAATGGCTGTCTACAATGGCTGTGCCTAGGACTCACTGGCCAGCTGTTTGAGACTGCGACCACGGCCCCCGCAGCGGGACTGAACCCACGTTGATCGCACATGCCGCTGCACCGCAAAGGTTGAATCAGTTGTTGAAAGAGTAGTGATGTGTTCAAGATTTGGGGCCTCTGGGGTGTGCAACTCCGCGCAGGCAGTGCGCAACAAGCGAAAAATCTGCTGCAATCGGGAAGTGGCTGCCTCTAAACAGTCAGAATGCCAGTCGCTCTGCTGCCTACGCAGGATAGCTGACTCAGCGCAAACAGCAGGGCACAAGGTTGGCACGGGTGCGAGCAACAACGCTCGACTCGAAGAGCACACGCGCAGCACAACAAGTACGATTGATTTTGATGGAAGGTGCTTGTCGCTTGATAGTGTGCGCTAGCAGGGGGTGGCTTCAAGTAGCTTTCATTGCATACTGCTGAACATAGGCTGGCTATTCGGCAAAGTATTGGGGACAACGAGCAGTCGCTCCTGCTTCTGCAGGACATGAAGAAGCTGATAGCAGACGCTGAGAAGGCAATGCTTAGCTTCGCTGTGTACTGCAACTGAAGAGTATCAACGAGCTTGGGTTTTGTTTGGCAGGTGATGCGCTTCGAAGCCGTCCTCGTGAATAGTATTCCACAAGATCAGAAGAGGAGGCCTCTGTTGGCAAAGAGGTTTTAGTTGTCAGCTGTCAGCACGAGGTATCATGCAACTGCCAGGTTTGTCGTTGCCGTATTCTTGGCTGATACCAGCATTGGAGTGTGGGAGTTCAAGAATCGAAACTCTGGTCATACAGAGGTCACTGGCCCAGCAGAGTACATGTGCTGCATGTGCCGTCTGCGTGCTGAGCTTTTACGTTTTCTTGCTGGCCAGGGAAAGTTTGCAAACAAAGCACGGAGGAAAAACCCGATGACCAGAATGTGGCTGGAGCCTCGAATCAGTAGAACGGACAAAATCTATAACTATAATGTGTGCTTACAGGTTGCCTGCTTGTTTCCCATGCTAACAAGATGCAATGCCAGGTTCCGCCAATCAGATTTTTTTGTGGGAGCGACAATCGAAGTGTTAGCCTGAGTCGGTCGGGCAGCAAGCCTGCAATGAAATGCGTCCCCCAGGTAAATGCCAGCCCATTTCGGCTGATCTGGGCTGATGATGCTGCCTTCAACTACATGGAAGAGCATGCTGACGAATTTCCACGTTCAGCCGTTTGCCCAGCAGTTTTTCTGGAAAGGATGCAAGAGACTTTTTTCGCAAAAGCTTCTACTGCTGTGAAGAACGTTGACGTCATCCTCTCCAAGATCGCGCCTTTTGCAGAAGATCTGCGAAAGGCAGCAGCATGGCACAACTTTGCATGTCTGCAGAATCGAGTGCCTGGCCAGGTCCCTGGCATCATGGAGTGGAAAGATTTGCAAGCGCTTGCAAAGGCCTGTACTGTATGTGGCGAGAGCATGTTTCGGCATGTTTGGGCTGAAGCTGCTAATGCGGGATGCTGTCACTGTAGTGTGCTGTGCCAGCACGAAGGAGATGGATCTGCACCTCGTGGATCAGGAGGTAATTGCTTTGGCAAGAGCTTTTGGCACCTATCAAGGCCATCCTAAGTGCCGGGCAACTATTGATGTTTCCAGGGTGGTCTCGGCATTGCAGTGAAAAGATGCAAAATCCTCTAGCCATGCTAGTATTGAACACGTGTTCCGGTAAGCATGTTGGCTAGCCAAGTTACTACGAGGAAGGCAGACCAACAGTATTGTGTGCAAAGCCAGATCCTTAATGCCAATGCCTTGAACTCCACGGAACTTTCTGGACGCGTGGGGGCATTGCGTCGTAAATGTTGCGACGTGCCGTTTCACTTGCATGCAAGTGTGCATGCTGTAGGTCAGACTTGTCTAACGACAAGGAAAATGCAGGTTGCCCAAGCAAGTCTCGCCACTTTGTCTTCGTTGGATGGGCTCATCACATGCACAAGCTGCTACAGGTTTCAGGTGACTGGAAACTGCCGTACTGGCAATCCTGCAATTCTCAAGCACAGTCTGCTGTTTCGTGCACTTCCCAGCTCTCAGCCTCTTATAGATTCCCTGGCACAGCCAAAGGAACTTCACCAACCCTTCAACCTAGGCAGAACTTGAACTTTAGCCCGCTGTTGTTGGCTTGCTTCGCCGCCATGTTTAGTCATTGAACTGGACACAGGAACGCTGAAGGAAGCACCTGCACAGGTGACGCTGCCCGTGCTTCTCTACAATGAAGAGAGACCCACCCGCATCACAGCTCGGAGATCACCTGCCTCTTTGTGACCTGGGTTTTGGACCGCTAGCATGCTTCGTCACCCTGAAGCCTTTGTCAAGCTGCAATGCCGTTGCACACGTTGGTTCTGGACACGCTGACTCGATGGAACTTGAGAACTCCGACGATGCAGGAGTCAATGTGCAGGAGATCCGAATTCAGGATGTTGATGATAAATGCACCACAATTAACGTGCCAGATATTTCGCAGCAGCCGAAACAGAGGCAGCACCCGGCGGACTATGATTCTCCTTCTCTGCAAAGCTTTAGCAGCGGTGGCAGCAGTCCAAGCTCAGCGAGGCGCAGACTTCGACTTCGTCAAGGTGTGCCAGCGCGGCACCTTACGGGAGAAATGACCGGAAAGGCCGACTGCAAAGACGTTTCGAAGATGTTGCCTCGCGAACATGCTTCCTGGAAGCATGAGAACCCCAAAGCGCACGTCCATGTCACTGGCAATGATGAGTTAGATCGACAACTCCTGCTTGATGCCTGGCAGTCATGTCGTCTCATGGAGGCTAGGCTGGTGATCATAGTTCGGACGCCAGTGAGGTATGCGCAGATTCTACTTCAGCTTGTTGTGACTGTGAGCTTTAGTCGGAAAGACTCAGAACTCTAGTCATGAGACGCCGACTTCGTGGCAGAAGCTGTTATGTAAAGGGCAGGCTTAGAACAGGCAACTAGCTAGCTGGGCAACATACTGATTTGCGCCCGGACAGGCATGCCGTTTGGTCCAGAAGTCGCGTTTGTCCAAGCGGCATTTTCACAATGTCCTGGATGAGTCTGCCCTGGAAGTCATTCACAGGGTGGAGGCAAGCTACCACCAAGTGCCTTGACAGAGATAAAGTCTTGCACAAGTACAATTTACCCCGGCGGTTGATGCCAGCTCGGCGAGCTTAAACACAGCTCCGTCAGAGCAGTTTTGCTTGCTCATGATTCTGAATGCGATATTTCAAGGGAACCTTCCTCAGCGAGGGTAAAGTCGTGGCTGCAGAGGGTATTTGCTACAGGTATTGCAAATTGAGCCTGTAGAAAGCTAGCTTCCAGCATAATTCTGTGCCCCTCGGTTGGCGTTTGATGATTTTTTGGAACCTGCACTCTGACTAGACTATTGGAACGCTAAGTGGTTTTCCTTTGATTCAGCTTATTTGACGTTGATGCAACAATTTCGTTGGTTTTGAGATGGAAGAAACGGCGCACACCCAAATTTGAAGCAAACACTTGTTCAAAGCCCAAACTACTCCAAGTGACAAGCTTGCTTCTTGCACACGCAGTCATTTCCTTTTCTGATTTGTACCTGCGCAGATCTTGGATTAAAGGCCAGCCTATTGGGCCCCCTCCATTTGCCGATGCCGAAGGCTTGCATATCTCCGACCGGAGACCCAGATGCCTGGCGCTCTGCGGAGCTCAATGTGGGTGACTATTTGGAGATGACCGTGCGCGACCCCACCCACGTTCGCCAGAGCATCGTTCTCCTTAGGCTGGATAAAGTCGATCCCAGGCCCGGCAATGGGCAGAAGTGTCCTTCCTCGCTGTGAACTCTTGATGTGGCCGATGGACCATGGGCCAGGCAAACATGACAATTGGCAATTTGAGGTCACTTGTGCTCCGGGGCAATGCCAATCCAAAGAGTGAGGAGGCGAGAGGAGCTTCCACACGGGTTGCTTTCGCCTGATCATGCCAAAGCTTCGTGAGAGGGGATATCGAGCGGTTGTCAGGTGTTCTTCCGTTGCGCACATGTTCAGAATAAAATATTTCGTTTTTCCAGGGCAACTTTAGTCGGGACATGTGGCCGGGCCATGACTGAGTGGCCATTTCATCGCTATTCGTGTTCACGAAAACATGGCCGCTTCACGTGCTCGGTGAGGTGCTCGAGGGATCACTGCGAACAGTGCGGCCAAGGAGCGCTTCGAGCGCCCAAGTTTGGCGAAAGGGTTTCTGTTTCCGAGCTCCGTTTCACGAAGGACGTGGCTTTGAAAGGCTCCCCTTGATTGGTTCATTGAGGATGACCATTGGCGACCATTGTGATTTCTCTGCGGAATCTCGGCAAGCCCGCCTGGGCGACGTGGTCGCTGAAGCCCCGGTGCAAAACTTTTACTCTCGCGCGCGGCCGGCCATTCCAGAACTCATGAGGTAAGTGGATCATAGATCATGGGACCACCAGCCCTCCGAGATTGAGATCATCCTCAAGGATTCCACATTTGAGCGGTCAAGACCAAATCCGAGTCAGGCAAGGAAACGCCGTCAGCAAAAAATCCACTTAGGGACTCGTGGGTGCAGATGCCAGTGGCAAGGTCGGCTCCCTTGAACATTCGTACGGCTCCCACTCGTGGTATGTCCTGATGCCCGCCTGTCATACGCCCCCAAGTGGTTTGGGATGGCTTTCTCGCATTGCTCGTTTGGAGGCCGCCGACAAACGTGGACGACGATTGTGCACAGCGGTCCTGCTTTTCACCATTTCCTTCGCAAGCCGGATTGCCATGTGGAGCCCTATCGAACTCATGAAGATCAATGGGCAACTTCACCTTCGACGCGGTTGAAGATGCTGAGTATCTTCAGGAATTGCGCTTGGCTGTTGGGGAAGCAATCTCTGGTGAACTTGGCCGCAGGTTTCCTGAGTTTTTGGGGGTATATAACCGCCATCACCCCCAATGCCCTGGTCAACCCCCCCCCCAGTGTCCTGGTCGAACTCAGACGTAGAGATGTTTTCCAACGGTGTGGACGTTTTGGTCACTTCCTACGCTCTGTCAAAGGGAATGTTCATTTTCCCGACGCTTGAGCCGCCTATATCACCGAATCATTCCCCGCCCTCGCTGTGGGGTTGTTAGATTTTAAAGTAGATGTTGTCCTCGCAGGAATGGAAGCTGACCTTCGTGACCAACCATCAAGTATCCCTGCAGTGCCCAACCACCAAATATCCCTGCAGTGCCCAACCGCAAAGTATCCCTGTAGTGCCCAACCACCAAGTATCCCTGCAGTGCCCAACCACCAAGTATCCCTGCAGTGCCCAACCGCAGAGTATCCCTGCAGTGCCCAACCACAGAGTATCCTTACACTGCCCAACCACCAAGTAT